TAAGTMTAAACTTGAAAATAATTTTACAAAGAAAATTCATGTGAGATTTCAATRGGATTTGACCTTGTTAAAAACCAAGGTCTGTCAAGCTTGTCCCAACAGGCTTGTAACTTCCATGTCATAAACAGAATGTCATTAGATAGGAGGAACGAAAATGATTATGCTGCAATTTATCTGAACCTATGAACACAGTGCAAGCCTCTGTAAATACCAGCTAAAGGCAGGATTAAAATATGTCAGCTGCCCCGGGCTCAGGGAGAAGCAGCTCTCTAAACACTGCACGTACATGAGACACAATTGGGATAGTTCATAAAAACCAAGATAATCTTAATTTTATAAGATATGCCACCAAAAAAAAAAAAAAAGTGGAAGGAAACATTGCAACCTTGAATTTTTCTAGCATGCTATTACACAAAATGAGTCTTCTGGGAGCTATTGGTTAACAAACTGCTCTCTCTGTAATTAAGCTCACTGACAAGGACACCAATATTTTCACATTGGTTTTTCAGTGTCATTTCTCAATCATTCCAAATTCCAAAATAAGTTAAAAGTGTACCACGGTACCTCCTCAGCTTGTTTTGYTCCAGTAGCCCTTTAGCTTTTTTGATCAGTTCTTCTCTAGTTTYCTCCATGTGCTTTGTGTCTTTCTTCATTTGTTGTAATAGTTCTTCCATCTTGTTTTCTAAAGATATTACGATTATATTTAGCAAGCATCTGAATACTCTAAGTAGGAAGGATCAGTCAAGATTTTTGTAATGCAYTCATCACAAATTATGCCAAAAGCTCTGTCAGAACAAGCAGTAGAAACCATTTCATTTTAATCAAGTATCTCTAACTTTTCAAAAYGGCTGGTGCTTTAGAAAAAGGGAGAAATCCAGTGTACATCCATTCATACACACACACAAACTAACASCYTTYTATATGTTCAGACAATSTATCACTAAAACTMTATAATCAAGAAACAYATATATATACTCTGCACATKGAAAACTCTTGCCAATAAAGAAAAAAAGCCTTCAAAAGACTATTTCCTTCTTAAAATACATTGCAATAGAAATTGTAGMGAAATTTTGCCTTAAAATCCAGCTGGTAAAACTATACCTCAGACTTTCACTAGTCTGCAACAATAGATCAAACATTGATCTTCTCACTGTTCCCCTCCTCAGCAATACTAGTCGTGGTTTTCTTTGTTAGATTCTCACTCAAGCCTGCAATATCTCATCTGACCTCCCTCCTGTTCTTCCATCCACAACTCCACTCGCTGAGTTTTCCCGTGCTGGGAACCTGCCAAGCTCGAGGCCAGCCCATGCAATCATAAATGCCCGGAATTTTCTAACCATAAATTAACTTTCATAATAATACTGTGAATGAACGTATGCACAAATCCTTTTATAAAGTAGGTATTTACATCTTCATTAATCCTTCAGTCTTGATTAAATGTTCACTTCCTTGCAATTTCTTGGAATCATGTACTCACTTGCAGCCTGAATTACAGGAACTTGAGCTGGATTTAGAGTAAGTGCCAAAAGAGGTGGACTAGGAGGTGAAATACACTCTTTTGGAGAAGTAAGATGATTTTGCTTGTTTCCATCTGCCTATAGAGTCAAAAGACATAACTATAAGTACATAACCATAATGCTGAATAGTTACATTATATATATATATATATATATATATGTGTGTGTGTGTATATATATATATATATATATATATCTATCTTACATTAGTTATATATGCCCTGAAAGCAGCCTGAGTGAGTGGGAGGGCTGAATTTGACTTCTGCACATCAGTTTTTTTTATCCTGTTAGCAGTACACAGGGTAACTAAATTACAAACAGCTGGACCTCTGCAAATAAAATGAGAACACTGAACACTTACATCACAGAGAATGTACAGACAAAACCATAGATTATTGCTAATTGTTCTCATCCATGTCCATAACCCCACAAGTTACCAATATTCCCATGCAAGACCAGGAACTAAGGGCCTTAAAAAGGCCACCYGGTTCATTGATTATGAAATAAAAAACTGCCAATTTCTAAATTAAATTTGTAGTTGCAGATTTTAATTGTTCAGAAATACAGTTAATATTCATTAGAAAACCTGCTAAGTAGCAGTGCATGAATTAACTTTTTTCAATTATTCTCAAATTTTTCATATTTATAATGAGTCATCAGTCCTACAAAATTAGACTGTTTCTAGGTGGAGGACTATATTAAATGCTTAAGATTACTAGGCATGTCACCTTGAAAAACATACCTGATTTTCCAGTTTTTCACCAAGATCAGCTCTAATCTTCCTAGTCCTGTTCTCCTGCAAGCTAAAAATAAAATTAAAAAAAAAACCAAGTGAAAAATCATTGAGTGACTTTTCTTTCATTTATTTGTCTGTAAATGAAGTTTAATTCAGTGAATTAATATTATCCATTACTTTGTACAGGCTGATGTACATTTGAAAGATGTGCTCCAATGTAAGGAAAAAAACCTTGAGGTTACATTTAAATAATTACGTTTAATTAAGCATACAAGTTATATGCAAAAAAAGGAAGAGGAAATCAATATGATTTTGGTTATGCTTATTTTTTCATTCAAAAGACTCTTGCTTGCAAATAGGGCACAGCTCTTAGTTCTGCTTACATTGTTAGTGTTGTGAAACAGAASACTGAAGGTGGAGGGGGAACACTCAACAAATATTTGATCATAGAGACGTAATTCAATGAGGTTACCATGACCCTAAACAACAAATAAACCAGTTGGTTTATTGCTTTACACTTTGTTATAAAGTTCAACATCAAGCAACATTAAATACCTCAAAGTAAAACTATATCTTTAATTTGTCTCTGTAAACCTTCACGTATATTACCAGTATCTTTAATTCTCTATTTACATAAAATATTTTATTCATTTGCTGACATTATTAAGGAGGCTGGAAAATTTTTCCCTTTATCTCTGAACTATGTGGGGAAGAAAATACACCATCTTAGTTATTATCATCCAGTTAAAAAGACCTGAATTCATTGAAAACATACGCATTCTTTCCAATTTAGATTGTATCACAGTCTTTTAAGTTTCTTTTCATGCTTTTCCACCTAGTTTTTGCATATTACTTAGTATTTATTCTAGATGTGCTCAGACAAGAGCTTGTATTTAAACCAAATGCTAACAGTGCTCCTGAAGTTATCTCCACTTTATGTGACATGATCTCATCTGCAGGAATGAAATCTCTGGTTTACATTATAAAACAAAAGAGCACTAAAGAAACAAAACTTAACTTACCACTGCTAGTTTTTTTCCCAACGCATTTTAGAAATTTGAATTTATCTGCAACTCTCACTCCACCCAGGTACTCTCCCGCAGCACTCTTAATGTGACATGAGGAGACACCCTAGAATGTTGCCATTCATCAATACATCTGTAAGATCAAATAATGATGGTTAGTTAGTAGGAGAGGGAAGATAATGCTCTATATGTGCTGGCTTGCATGGACAGAATGACCAAAACTGGGAACTGTGTCCTAGAACCGACCCCGGTTACAGAGAGGCTGGAGAGTCTGGTGAGGCAGCCAGAGCACTGCACTGCAAGGGCTGCCACAACATTAACTAGCAACACTCACACTGGATCAGCCTCAGACAAAGGGACAATATGGAAGCAGACTAAATTTGAAAGTTACTCCTTCAGAATGCTGTTCCTCATCTGCAGAGGAATAACAACACCACTGGAAACCACAGCTGTGCACTTCCATTGAAGTGACCAAGTTTCACAAGTTTGGTCCAGGACTGTTGAACATCCCCTTCAGGCACCCAGGGCCAGAGGAGAATTCATCAYTGTCCACTTTAAGTAGCAGGCACATTCCTCTGCTTTTGTCTTCTCCAACAAAAATTTACAGCTGGGTGTGTGCATGTGTTCATGCAAATGTATTTTAAATAAAAACCAAACACTGCAGTGTGAACATTTCCACCATGGTTTGAGGATGAGAATGCTGACACAAATATGAAATGCATCATTTAATGTACTACTTGAAAGTATGCAAATATTAAAGTAATGAGCTCAGTAGAAAAATCACTACAGAATAAAAAGCATCTCTGCACAAKAAATCCAAATGTRCCAGAGGGACACCAAAGCTCTGCAGCACAGCACAAGCAATTCTAATTGTTCATCTAATTCCATCATGTAAGATAAACATGAGAGACTGTTAATCACCCACTCTGACTAARTGTAGGATGATTTTGGCCCAGGCAGCTCTCACTCCTCAAGCAATGCACAGACATTGTTTGGGGGATAGCACACGCCATTCTCAGCAAACACTACAGACAAGGACTTGCCAYGTGTTCCATTTGAACAGATCTTCAGCAATAACCTGGCCAAGGTTTGTTTGCACTTGCAAGCAGCCCTATAGGCCTTCMGTTCCCACCTCATGTATGCAGTAAAACGCTGTCATTTTCACAACACTTCTGTGGGCTACAATGCTTCCCTTGTATTATTTCAAATACCTTGGACTTCAAGGACCCTCCTCAAGATCATGAAGCTGCTCTGGAACATAGGCATGCAGCAGAGGAGACCACAGTCTGCAGAGTGGACATGTCTAGGCCATATTACTCAGTAAATCTACCCTGTAGATTTGGCTCCTGCTTATTTCTTCCCCAGCCATTATTTTGCCCACATTGGCTGCAGCTATTAGTGTTAACATCCTTCATTTTAACTGTATAAAGACATATGTGAACGATGGATACGTAATTCAATACACATCCTTACGTGACTTATGTGAGAACACAGATGATCTGTAATTCAAATTCCTCATTCACTATGATTTCTTCAAGCTGATGACCCAGAGAAGATATGCCCCTTGAGTGGTCTTCTGAAGTCATATAAATGCAAGCTCTTTCAGAGGCAATTTTAACTCTGCCCAGCCTTCACTGATAAGGCCTGTCCAAACCAGCAAGGAATCCTAAAACTAAGCCATTTATGAACAGCAGGGAAAACATCTAAGTAACTGCAATGTACAATGAGACAAAAGTAGGTATCCAGATCCTGAGATACAGGGCAGAAATTTATCTAAAAGTTACTTGTCAATGCAGCTGCTAGGAAATTACAGTAATATCAGTTTGTTACTTGCTGCCACTGACTGGCAGAGAACAGTCACTTGCCTCAGGGTGTCCCTTCAAAAGTAATGCAAACTAGAGTTCATTGCAGCCATCTCATCTAGAAATAACAAAAGTTTGGTTTCTGTGGTGAGGAATGAGAAATGAAAAAAAAAAAAATCACAGAAACTGAGAAATTAAGTTCATGGGAACAAGAACTCAGGGCCATAGACAATTACACTCTTAATATCTTCCTCTAATTTCACAGCTAATGGAAGTGGCCTGTACTTTGACCTAGGAGTCCTTTGTAAAGCTGATTCAGACAGTCCTGGGATCGTCAGGCTGACTGAACAGAGCTATCAACAACGTCCAAGCCAAGGAATACAAGCAAGGCTCCTGTTCCCTCTCCTGGTCTATAATAAGTTTCTTAAAATACTTTTTGTTTTTAAAGACAGTGATTCACTGGCCAGGTGCTAGTTATTGTTAATGGTGATGTACTGCAGCATTGCACAATATCCATAGAATAATGAATTAGCAATTATTTAAGTCATTAGCAAGCAACAATACCCAGTCAGATATAAACCCACTGAAATCAGTGAGGATTCTAATTTAATTTGATGCCTCAGTGAAATAAATTTACACTACAAAATACAGGGCAGTGACAAATGTCCATGACATGAAGTTACCACTTCAGATATATATTCTTCACCTCTGTTGCAGACTAGAACAGCAAACAAAATGGGTGTATGTACTTATTTTCTCTGGTTTTGAGCAGCGTTTCAACAAAAGCAGTTGGGAGAATGAATGCATTTTGCCCTACATGCTCAAACCTGACTGCTGTCAATCTTTTCAGCTACAATGTATATTGTCTTAAATGGATAATACAAGACTCAATTTAAATTAATTAAAACCTCTGTTCCCTGCAATTTAAGCTGAATTGACAGGTTTTGCACACAAGTAGACAAAGTGCATGTAACAGCTCTATTTCAATACACATCTTTACATTATTTGATTTTTCTACAACTTCTAACCACACTAGATACACAYAGAWTGTGTGAGTAAAGTGTTGAAGAGCATAAATAAAACTTTTCAAGTTATGAAAGATTAAAGATGCAACTCTCTGWGCCAGGTTTGAGCCTAGGTCTGGGAATCAGGGTATTCTTCCATTAAGTCCTTTAAACAGCTACTGGAGAGCACACATGGTGTTGTGCACAGCCTTTCAGAACTCCTGCTGAAGAAGAAAGAGGAAATGCTGCTGGTTCATGGGCTGCAATGCTTCCCCTGGAGAAACAAGGCTTCAGCTCTTTCTCTGAACTAAGAAAGCTCAGATCATCATATCCCTGTTCCAAGGAGCTGACAGGTACCCTATCTTCATCAAGCCACAGTCTTGAAGCTGGCCTATTGCCCAAAAGAATTCCAGCTTCTGATAATCAGGYTCAAAGAGGCAGAAAGAATATAAGGTATGATTTTACAATATAAATTATTCTGCAAAAATACTAGTGCTGCTCTGAAAGTGCTTTTCAATGGTCTGCACCATGGGCTGATACAGTACATTTTAACACAATGCTAGTTATGGTCACCACTTACCCTCCAGAGATTTAATYAGACATCAAGTTTCTGCTGACCAATGGAACTGTGTTCCCTACAGCAAGAGCTGCACTAAAAAACTAAAGGACAGTGTGAAGGACCYATCACATACATGAAACCTGAGACTGCACTCACCTGATGAATCCAGCTGAGATGAATTTGCTATTAAGAGCTACAGGAACTGTATTCAGCTGGAAGTTCCACACTTCTGCTGGGACATAAAAAACATGAAGCTCCACCAGCTAAAAAAAAAGAACAGAAGTAAATACATTATAATSCTCTTCCTATACACTTTGTTTTGTTCAGGTGCACTTTTAATTTGTGTGGGCAGGAATGGTTCCTTTGCTATTAGCACAGGGACTAGAACAGTGAGGCCCTGCCTCACAGAGATGACTAGATAGTGAGAACAGTGACAGCAAAGCAATTTGTGACTGAATGCCAGCTGACAGCCCCAAAATACGTCACATTAGAAGAAGCTCCACAATGGAAGTGAGATAATGGAGAGCCTGTGCTACTGCTGTGTATCATTGTGACAGCAATGGAGAGMTCTTACCAAACACAGCTGATACTCTGGAGAGTGTCATGACTAAAAGAATCCCTAAGCTGAAATCCTACCTTTGTTCATCTCATAAAAAATGCAAAGCCCTGAAAGCTTGTTTCAAACAGCACCACAACTGGATCTTGTCATGAAGAAAAAAATTTCAAARTATTTTCGACTGTCGTTARTAACATTAGCTACCTTGGGAACACAAAAATGCTCCTGCYAATGTCTGCAAAAATAACTAAGCTGGCTCTGAGCAAGGTTCACTTAGATTGTGTTCAGACTTGTGGTAGTTGTTGCACTGTTAATATCCAGATCTTGATATCAGAGAGTACTGACAAGGATGATACGCTTCCCTATAACCAGAAGCCATGCAAATAAGCTAGATTAAATGTTTCTGCAAGTGTTGAGTTACTTAATATGAAAGAGAAAACAATGCTTCCTATATATACTATTTTAAAATCACATCTTTTTTTCCTCTTAGGTCTCCTAGAACSTTATTTTCATATATTTTTATTTGTGAAATCTAAAATATCTTTATGGAAAAGTACAAAAATTCTCACCTGTGATGTTTGAGGTCTCATTTGACTGAATGACATTTTGGTCCCTCTGTTTGACCACAGCAAATGCCAGGTGGGCTTTCTAATTTTCTTTTTGATTGAAGCATTCTTTAAGAATTAGTTTCATGATAATCTGTTATGAGGGAAGTTGCTCTATAAATATCCTTTAATTTCATTTACTGATCTTCATTCCATTTAYGAAAAATGGAAGTCCTGTCTGTGCTGAGGCAGAAAACTTCCAGTTAACTGCAAACAGAATCAACCACACCTTCTACACAAGTATCACCTAAGTAACTGGGGGAATTGCTAAACCATAGCCYTGCAGCTCTAAGAGACCTGCCCCAGAGCATTTCCTCTTAACATTTGTTCCCCTTTCATAAAAATAGTTTGGTTGTATATAATTTCCTATATGAGTCTACTGTTTTCCTAAAGACACAGACCTAAATCCCCACAAAATGAGACTCTTGCAGGGCCTAGATCTGATAAAGTGAAGATCATTGTGAATGGCAGCAAACAACACATTGTGCTGGCCAAACGCAGTGTACTAAGGAAACTTGACTATGCTGGGCAACCATGTCAGAAAAGTACTTCCATAGATTATAACCAGGGTTCTGTGCAAACACTGTTACAGAATCATGGAGTGGTTTGGGTTGGAARGSACCTTTGAAGGTCAGTGAGCCCAACCTCCTGCAGTGAGCAAGGACACCTCCCACTCGGCCAGGTTGTTCAGATYCCCAAGCTCAATCTGACCTTGAATGTACCTCTCTGGTCCAGGCTTTCACCAACCTTAGTGTAAAAAACTTCTTCCTCATATTTCTAATCAACCTTCTTTTAGTTTAAAACCATTCCCCTCCTACTATTTCAACAGGCCCTGCTAGAAGTTTATTTCCATCTTTCTCTTTTTGTTTGGACTCTCCTTGGTGTTCYCACTTTGAAGGCTCTTCCAGACTCTCTGAGGTTACAAACCTTCTGTGGATTTTCTGCCTGCTGAACTCCCTTGCTGTTCTCCAGATCTCCTCAACAGGACAGCTCTGTCCTCCTCCTGCCTGTACCCCAGCTGCTTCCAATTCATACCCCAACTGCTTCCAATTCATACCCCAGCTGCTTCCAATTCAAACCCCAGCTGCCTCCAATTCACCTGTTCTGGAGCACGAGCAACAGAACTTTCCAAGCGACCTTCTAGGTCTCACCCTGGCGCTGGTGAAATTAAGATTTCCTCTTGTCAGTGGGAAACACCTACTYAACAGGGCCTGTGTCTTTATTTGCAAGCTCCCACAAATGACCTGAGTGTAACACCCCATCACTGCTCCGGTCATTCCCAGCCAAGGTCACAGCAGGGCACAGCGCAGTCCTGCCTTTGGTCCTTAGGACATAAAAGATGGTGCACTTGCAGTACCTGATGTCGCTCCAGGCTTCACCRCCATTCCCGGGCAGTAAACCAGGACTCCCAAATTTATCCTCCAGGCTATAGTCAACACTCAAGCTGCTAGCAACAGCAAAGTTAGGAACTTCATTCACTGCATCTCAAAACAACCCCCAAAGTTGGACCTCACTGGACATTGTCCCCAAGACTCGCCAGCTCGGTGTAACGCAGCCTCCTCTCCCACTCCCCGTCAGGAAAGCGCGGGTTTGGGCTGTTTCGGTGCCCGCAGGCGGTGCCCCGTGCCCGGCACACGGAGCGGCCCCGCCCGCCGGCCCGGCCCCGGTGCGCAGGCGCCGCGGTCCGGGGAGTTGTGGCCGCTCCGGGAAGTTGTGCTGGGAGTGCCGTGAGTGCCGAGCCGAGCCCACCGCCAACCCCGCCATGTCGGGCTCCTCCAACGTGGCGGCCATGAAGAAGGTGGTGCAGCAGCTGCGCCTGGAGGCGAGTGTGACCCGCGTGAAGGTGAGCGCGGAGCCGCGACGGAACGGAACGGAACGGGACGGGGCGGACGCGCCGCCATTTCACCGCCCCGGGGCCGCGCCCGTCGCGCCGGGGCCGCYGGCTCCGACCCGCCCCGCCCCGCGGACCGGCTGGGCGGCGGTGCCCGGGCTTCTCCCTGGCTCCGTCGGGGCTCCCCGGCCGAGGCCAGCCCGGAGCGGCAGCTCAGCCGTGTCCCCTCCGCCTCCGCCTCCGCCCTGCCCGGGGCTCGGCCGCTCGCCCTCCCAGCCCCTCGGTCCCTGGGCCGCTCCCCGGCCGAAGCGCTCCCCGGGGCCATGGGCGCGGCCCGCGCTGCCCGTCCGTGCCCTCGGTGTGAGCAGCGCCCTTCCGTCGGGCTCCGGGGAGAGGCGGCCCGAGCCGGGGCGCACAACAGGCTGCGCTGGCCCCGGAACGGCAAAATGGAGATGTCGCTGCCAGGCACACAAAGTGCATTGAACTTGTGCCGTGCCGGGGTGAGACTGCGCCTGGCACGCCAGAGAAACTCTGGGCAAACCGCAGATAYGAAGTGTCGGTGGAAGATGCAACTTTTTCAAAGTTGAATCGTTCTGTTTTACGAATTTGGAGTTACGGCATGGAAAGCGAGACAACGAATTTTTCACTGTTCAGTTTTTAGGAAGGTGCAGCATGCCAAAATCCCCATATAAGGGTGCTCAGAAACCCATTAATTATCTTATTATAAGGATGGCTTTCCAAAGGAGGATGAAATGCCAGTTCAGTCGACTAGATCATGTTAAACCATAGACAGTATTTTTGAATTGTTTATGGTAGGATCTTTATATATTTAATTAAGGATCTTTATGTATTTAATTAAGCCATCTCCGAGATATTGCATATGTGTTATGCCTCATAGTTAGAAGTTTAACATGGAGATTAAAACATCCAAAGTAGTTCTTATATTGTACAGCTTCTTGTCTTTAAGAAAGAAAAACTACAATGAAATGATTGCATAAAATCTACAAAAGCAATTTACATAAACTGTATTACAGAATCATTTTGTAGTATTTTTAATACTTTGCAATTKAGTTACACCCTCATTAAAGAGTGTTCAGTGAATTCTAATGCCAGTTTTTATTATGACTAGGTTTCTCAAGCTGCAGCTGACTTGAAGCAATTCTGCCTGCAGAATGCGCAACATGATCCCCTACTTACGGGAGTATCATCAAGTACAAATCCATTCAGACCCCAGAAAGTTTGTTCATTTTTGTAATTATGTGAACTACTTCAGTATCTTTCAGTGGTAAGTTCTTGATTTACAGCTCATAAACTCTCTTGTCATTTAAATGAGACAGGCAGTATGAAAGGCACTCAGAAGCATCTGACTTGTGCAGCTGGTGTTGGTCTAAATCCCTGTTTTGGTCCCTTCTCCCCTCTTCTGGTCACAGCTCTGTACTGGACACATGCTGTCCGTAATTACTATGAGCAGCTCTTTGCTATTGCAGAGCTTCCACTGGTTTTGTTGCTTCCACCAGTTTTTGTAGCTAAGTAGCGGGGCCACCTGCTACTGAGCTGCTGTTTGGACTAACATACTTGCACAGCAGTTCTGCTGTATCTTCCTCTCTGTAAGGGTATTATTTCCCTTTTCTCACACAGAATTAATTGCCTGACAGGATCTGTGGTGAATCCTGATTGGGGCAGATAAAACAGACTTTAGTTCTTAAACTTTAAAAGTGCAGTTCCAAAAACAGGTTAGTGGTGGTGGGCCCCAGGAAGAGCACTGATCACTGGGGGCAGGGGAGATGCCCTCTGTGCCAAAAGTCAGAAGTATATACTTTTTGAAAAGTGTTTACTTTTAAAAGCCCACATTCCATTCAAGTAAGCTACTACAGGGGTAGCARTTTAAATAACTAGAAACAGTGGAATACTCATTTGGATTTTCATTYCAAAAGTTTCATAGGCTCAATAGCACTACTGCTGTCATCAGAAAGACTACTCACTCATCTGGCATTTTGGTGATTAGATTTTAGGCTAACCTCTTTAGAAAGGTGAGTTTTARATCCACAGTCGTTTCACCAAAACTCTGGGAATCACAATAACTTGGTTTTTTTGACCACAGTAAATGCATGATAATTTTACCATGTTCCTTTTTCCTGTTGCACTTTCACTTGGATCTGTTGGAGGTGAGACCACAGACATTATTTCAAAGCATTTGATACACAGTTAACCATAGTTCACAATCCTTAGAAATCTCATAGTGAGTCTTTACCGTGAAAAATTCTGGTTGTGTAGCTGACTTATATCATCCAAAGAATTGTAGTCTGCTAGATTTAAATAGTGCTGTTAGGCAGCTTTACTGAAAGGTGACCACAGTCAGACTGATTGGTTAAAATTGTTCTCCCCTCAAGCAGACTTTAGAAAAGTTCCAGATGTGCATATTAGCATGAATAACCATGTTTAAAGACCAGAGTAGTAACAGTAYGTAAGTTGATTCTTAATTATTRAACAAACAAAAMCACTTCCCATGTTGTTTAAGCTGTGGATTACAGCAGTATAACTGAAATGGGCTTTAGAGTTCTTGTAGGTTTAAAGCAACTTCTATTTGTGAGTATTTGCCAACTGCTGTTATTTAAAAAATGCTCTTGGATGCTACACTACTGTAGCTTCAGCTGTAAGCACTAACCCAAGGAAGAAATCAGACCATCTGTAAGCATTATAGACTGCTAATTTATACAAAGCCAAATAAACTGTACTTAATCACACATATAATTCCCCACCAAGGTTTGCCAAGGTAAAGTAATTTCTGGATTCCTGGGTGTGGATGTCAGGAAACAATGTTTCCTCTGTCTCACACCACAGATGCATATAAGGAGTATAAAAGGCTTAATGTTTTCTTTCTGTTACTGCCATTGGAATGGAACTCTTTATTTCTGTTTTAGTTACACCACCTGTATGTGAAACTCCTTCACGTTGCAGTATCTGTTGCAAGCACTTCCTGAGAAAGAGKCATTTATTAGTTGTAATTCCTTGTGTTTTCTTGATGAGCCAATAGTGTTCATGTCTGCACAGTCAGCACCACCTCAGTGAAGAGGAACTGTAATTTTATTAGTTATCTAACAAATTTCCTGCTTTTCAAAGGCAGAATAGATACCTGGTGTTTTGGCAAACACAAAGTGACTGGGAACAACTTTTTCTACCCTTCCATTTACCAGTTTGATTTCCAGGAGACACTAAGCTTCATGTTTTTTTTAAGAGCTTCGTTTATSTTATTGTGTCTTTGGGGATGGCTTCATTAAAAATTTGAGGTTTTTTTTAACTAAAAATTTGTTAATGTTTTATAAAACACCTGTGTTTTCCTAAATAGTTGTCTGTGGTGTACACTGAAGATACGTGTTCTTAGTGTTGCTTCATTTAGCAGTGATACCTTTCTAACTAGATTTTGATTTTGTTTTTCAGATCTTTTAGCATCTTTTCCTACCTGCTGATGTGTGTATGGGCGGCGTGCCTCAAGGAGTGGCCTGGTTTGAAGTCTGTACAAAAGCTTAGCTTTAATGTGCCAAATCTAACTCTAAAAGTGCTACTGTCGTCGAACTTCTTACCATCTACCTCTCCAAATGAACTGTATGCTAGTTATGTACTTCTTTTTCATAAGGGAATCAGTTTTATATGCCAAGCAAAAAATAAAAGTGTCTTGACTTAGTCTGGTCTTGAAATTACTGTAAGTTGATTCGGGGTATGGTGGCACCTCAGCTATCAGTGCATCGCTCTGTAGCAGCTAGAGAGCAGAGAGAGGAGTGTAAATATTCTGTGCTGCTGCAAGTCTGCTTGGGGTAAACAGTCCTGCAGAACARTGAGGCTCCAGCAGTACCATACTTAGAAGCATAATAGAAATAGAAAAAAAATTTTGGACTGTTTATAATTCAGTTATACAGCTGTCCCATATCATAAACATAAGATGCAGACAAAGTGAATTATTCTTTATCTTAACAAGTAATTCTGCCCTAGGAGATAACTCTGTAAGCCTTCTTACTCTTTAGGTAAATATGAAAAAGCACTTACAGCTATATGTGAAAACAAAGTAACTCAAAGAAAACTTGACCTTTTGGCTGCCAGTRAATGTGCCAACTTAAGGCAAAACAGTAGTTTATAATGCAGATAATACGAACKCGAGTGTTGCTGTAAGGCTGAAGAAACGTTTTAAAAATTTTAATGGGAAAAACTCTGCTCAGAGACC